TTGAAAACTGAAAATGTTATCGCCACCGCGATTGTCAGTCTTCCGACAACAGCCACCGCCATTCTCAGTCCTCTCAAATTTCTCGATCGTTCCTATGGGAGCTATATGATATAGTAGTCCGATTTTCATAAAATTTGACAAAAAATAGTAGAATAATATGAAACAACTATATCTAAAATTTGATCAAATTCTGTTGAAAACTGAAAATGTTATCGTCACCGCGATTGTCAGTCTTCCGACAACAGCCACCGCCATTCTCAGTCCTCTCAAATTTCTCGATCGGTCCTATGGGAGCTATATGATATATTAGTCCGATTTTCATAAAATTTTACACAAAATTGTAGAATAGTATGAAATGGCTATATCTTAAATTTGATGAAAATCTGTTGAAAACTGAAAATGTTATACTTATTAATTGAATTAATTTCTCGATCGTTCCTATGGGAGCTATATGATATAGCCGTCCGATTTTCATAAAATTTTACACAAAATTGTAGAATAATATGAAATGGCTCTATCTCAAATTGTATTAAATTCTGTTGAAAACTGAAAATGTTATACTTATTAATTGAATTAATTTCTCGATCGTTCCTATGGGAGCTATATGATATAGTAGTCCGATTTTCATAAAATTTGACAAAAAATAGTAGAATAATATGAAACAACTATATCTAAAATTAGATCAAATTCTGTTGAAAACTGAAAATGTTATCGTCACCGCGATTGTCAGTCTTCCGACAACAGCCACCGCCATTCTCAGTCCTCTCAAATTTCTCGATCGGTCCTGTGGGAGCTATATGATATATTAGTCCTATTTTCATAAAATTTTACACAAAATTGTAGAATAGTATGAAATGGCTATATCTCAAATTTGATTAAATTCTGTTGAAAACTGAAAATGTTATCGCCACCGCGATTGTCAGTCTTCCGACAACAGCCACCGCCATTCTCAGTCCTCTCAAATTTCTCGATCGTTCCTATGGGAGCTATATGATATAGTAGTCCGATTTTCATGAAATTTGACAAAAAATAGTAGAATAATATGAAACAACTATATCTAAAATTTGATCAAATTCTGTTGAAAACTGAAAATGTTATCGTCACCGCGATTGTCAGTCTTCCGACAACAGCCACCGCCATTCTCAGTCCTCTCAAATTTCTCGATCGGTCCTGTGGGAGCTATATGATATATTAGTCCTATTTTCATAAAATTTTACACAAAATTGTAGAATAGTATGAAATGGCTATATCTCAAATTTGATTAAATTCTGTTGAAAACTGAAAATGTTATCGCCACCGCGATTGTCAGTCTTCCGACAACAGCCACCGCCATTCTCAGTCCTCTCAAATTTCTCGATCGGTCCTATGGGAGCTATATGATATAGTAGTCTGATTTTCATAAAATTTGACAAAAAATAGTAGAATAATATGAAACAACTATATCTAAAATTAGATCAAATTCTGTTGAAAACTGAAAATGTTATCGTCACCGCGATTGTCAGTCTTCCGACAACAGCCACCGCCATTCTCAGTCCTCTCAAATTTCTCGATCGGTCCTGTGGGAGCTATATGATATATTAGTCCTATTTTCATAAAATTTACACAAAATTGTAGAATAGTATGAAATGGCTATATCTCAAATTTGATTAAATTCTGTTGAAAACTGAAAATGTTATACTTATTAATTGAATTAATTTCTCGATCGTTCCTATGGGAGCTATATGATATAGTAGTCCGATTTTCATAAAATTTGACAAAAATAGTAGAATAATATGAAACAACTATATCTAAAATTAGATCAAATTCTGTTGAAAACTGAAAATGTTATCGTCACCGCGATTGTCAGTCTTCCGACAACAGCCACCGCCATTCTCAGTCCTCTCAAATTTCTCGATCGTTCCTATGGGAGCTATATGATATAGTAGTCTGATTTTCATAAAATTTGACAAAAAATAGTAGAATAATATGAAACAACTATATCTAAAATTAGATCAAATTCTGTTGAAAACTGAAAATGTTATCGTCACCGCGATTGTCAGTCTTCCGACAACAGCCACCGCCATTCTCAGTCCTCTCAAATTTCTCGATCGTTCCTATGGGAGCTATATGATATAGTAGTCCGATTTTCATAAAATTTGACAAAAAATAGTAGAATAATATGAAACAACTATATCTAAAATTAGATCAAATTCTGTTGAAAACTGAAAATGTTATCGTCACCGCGATTGTCAGTCTTCCGACAACAGCCACCGCCATTCTCAGTCCTCTCAAATTTCTCGATCGTTCCTATGGGAGCTATATGATATAGTAGTCTGATTTTCATAAAATTTGACAAAAAATAGTAGAATAATATGAAACAACTATATCTAAAATTAGATCAAATTCTGTTGAAAACTGAAAATGTTATCGTCACCGCGATTGTCAGTCTTCCGACAACAGCCACCGCCATTCTCAGTCCTCTCAAATTTCTCGATCGGTCCTGTGGGAGCTATATGATATATTAGTCCTATTTTCATAAAATTTTACACAAAATTGTAGAATAGTATGAAATGGCTATATCTCAAATTTGATTAAATTCTGTTGAAAACTGAAAATGTTATACTTATTAATTGAATTAATTTCTCGATCGTTCCTATGGGAGCTATATGATATAGTAGTCCGATTTTCATAAAATTTGACAAAAATAGTAGAATAATATGAAACAACTATATCTAAAATTAGATCAAATTCTGTTGAAAACTGAAAATGTTATCGTCACCGCGATTGTCAGTCTTCCGACAACAGCCACCGCCATTCTCAGTCCTCTCAAATTTCTCGATCGTTCCTATGGGAGCTATATGATATAGTAGTCTGATTTTCATAAAATTTGACAAAAAATAGTAGAATAATATGAAACAACTATATCTAAAATTAGATCAAATTCTGTTGAAAACTGAAAATGTTATCGTCACCGCGATTGTCAGTCTTCCGACAACAGCCACCGCCATTCTCAGTCCTCTCAAATTTCTCGATCGTTCCTATGGGAGCTATATGATATAGTAGTCCGATTTTCATAAAATTTTACACAAAATTGTAGAATAATATGAAATGGCTCTATCTCAAATTGTATTAAATTCTGTTGAAAACTGAAAATGTTATCGCCACCGCGATTGTCAGTCTTCCGACAACAGCCACCGCCATTCTCAGTCCTCTCAAATTTCTCGATCGTTCCTATGGGAGCTATATGATATAGTAGTCCGATTTTCATAAAATGGTAGAATAATATGAAATGGCTATATCTCATATTTGATTAAATTCTGTTGAAAACTGAAAATGTTATAATTTTTTTTTTTTAATTTTCCGATCATTCCTATGATATAGTCGTCCGATCCGGCCCGTTCCGACATATATATGAGTGAGAGTATATAGAAGACTAACTGCAAAGTTTCATTCAGATAGCTTCAAAACTGAGAGATTAGTTTGCGTAGAAACGGACATACGGACTTGGCTAGATCGACTCTGCTGTTGATCCTGATCAAGAATATATATAGTCGGAGGTGCCTCCTTCAGTGCGTTGCAAACTTCCGACTGAAATTATAATACCCTGCAAGGGTATAAATATATCAGATTTATTAACAAATTAAAAAAAATAAAAATCTTTTCTGCAGACTTTCAAACCCGTACAAAGTCTCCTAAAGAATTTCCCAGAATTTCTTAAACTCTTCAAAATATCCTTACAAATGTCCTCGTTCAAATAGGCCTCAACTAAGCCGCTTGTAAATATTGTTGCAAATTGTTGTAGGTCCTGTGTTTTCCTGCCGATGCAGTCAATGTCATTCGAAATTAAATGCCAAAAAGTGACAACACGTTGAAAAACACACAGACAGGCACACTGTTTGTGTGCGTGTGCATTGCTTTTTAATATGCAAAAAAAAAAAAAAAAAAAAATGAAAATGGGGGCAAAAAGAGCGGGCTGGCAATAATTGACCCAGATTTTCCGATGCCACCCTAAAAGCCATGGCATATCGCGTATACGCCGCGTGTTTGCGTTGGCTCTTGGGTCCATCTTTTTCCCTCTTTCTATAACATACATATGTTTTTGTTTTTTTTGGTTTTGAATTTATTATATTTAACAATGACTACGATAAGGATAAGGAATGTTCCAAGGTTAACAGATATTTATTGAAATATCAAAATCAAAACTTTTAAAAAAATTAAGCAGAAAGTAAATACGACAATTGCTTGTTTATTGTTAAATTTACAAAATAAAAGAACTCCACAAAACTACAGAAGCTACAAAAAGATCATAAGCTACAAATAAAAGTAATAAAAAGTCATTGGCATAAAATAATGAAAAATAAAAGAAAATACAAAGAATTGAAAACAGATTTAGATCTAACCTAGAAGTTCGACAAGTCATTATTAAATTGTTTCAATAAAAATAATTCAAATCGTTACTATAACACAAGTCATAACAGCAACCGAGAAAAATCTCATCTAGAAGTTCGTATCGAGGCAAAAATCGACAAGTCATTTTTATATTGTTTCAATAAAATAATACAAACAAAGTGACAAATGAAACGTTCAACAAATATACCAAAATATTTGTGGTTATAATTTGAAAGTACAACTTTTCACAAAAGAAAATAAAAAAGAATACAAATAAATAAACACCAGACGACTCTACGAGCCAAAGGCCTCGAGTCGAATGAAATAACCAAAGAAAGGGACTGCTATTTATACCAAACAGGGGGACAGGGTTGTATTTCTTTTAGGGTTGCCAACATAACCATTTTTATTACATTTTCCATCAGGGTTGTCACCTTAATCTAATACGAAATTTATATGTTAGGCACAAGTAAGAAATATATGCTTTGTATATGATACTTTCTTCTAATTAAACTTATTATAAAATGAAAATTTTTGTAAAAAAATATTATCAATTTAAGATTTCCTAACTAAAACACTTTTATTCACCAGACTTTCAATTATCACATCTTTATGGTTTCTTCCTTTTCCAGACGACGGAAAAAAACTGCATTTTGTGAGTCCTGCAAGACGGAAATCGGTGCTGGCCCCCATTTTAAATAAAATCAAGAATGGCGCCGCCGATGCCTCCGATAGTGCCGAAAAGAAACTGGGCAGTGAGAGCAGCGGCAGTGGTCACATTGCAGTCCAGATCGAGCCAGCCAGGCGGGTTAAGGTGGGTGAAAGTTAAGGTCCTTTGAAGCTACCCAAATAAATTTAAACTCGATCCTGTAGCGTCACAGCATACACGGCATGATGGAGGAGGAAACACCATACGGCCGCATCAGGAGATCCGACAGTTGACGCTGGAGGAGAAGAAGTTCCTGTTGGCTGTGGAAAGGGGCGATATGGCAGGCACCAGAAGGATGTTGCAAAAGGCACAGGACACTGATTACATCAATGTGAATTGTGTGGATCCTTTGGGACGCACTGCCCTCCTGATGGCCATTGACAATGAGAATCTTGAGATGGTTGAGCTGTTGATTAACTACAATGTGGACACAAAGGATGCTCTGCTGCACTCCATCTCCGAGGAGTTTGTTGAGGCTGTGGAGGTGCTTTTGGATCACGAGAATGTAACCTTTCACAGCGAGGGTAATCATGTGAGTTAAAGTAAATTCTTTTCCAGAATAAATAGTACTAAAGTTTGTTTTTTAATTTAATCAGAGTTGGGAGTCTGCCTCGGAGGATACCTCCACCTTCACGCCGGATATAACTCCCTTGATCCTGGCTGCACATCGTGACAACTATGAGATTATCAAGATCCTTTTAGATCGTGGTGCCGTTCTGCCCATGCCTCATGATGTGCGCTGCGGTTGCGATGAGTGTGTTCAGTCCCGGCAGGAGGACTCTCTCAGGCATTCCAGATCCCGCATTAATGCCTATCGAGCCCTGGCCAGTCCTAGTCTGATAGCACTTTCCTCCAAGGATCCCATACTCACAGCCTTCGAGCTGTCCTGGGAGCTGCGTCGCCTCAGCTTTCTGGAGCACGAATTTAAGGTGAGGTTTGAAAAAGGTAAACCTAAATGGATTAAGATGGGTGTTTTTCCAGAATGAGTACCAGGAGCTGCGAAAGCAGTGCCAGGATTTTGCCACCGCTTTGCTGGATCATACTCGCACCTCCCACGAGCTGGAGATTCTGCTCAACCATGATCCCACCGGTCCTGTTTACGAGCACGGCGAAAGGATGCATTTAAATCGCCTGAAATTGGCCATCAAGTTGAGGCAGAAAAAGGTGAGTTATCCTTGTTAAATAATATATGAATAACTACTTGTTAAATGATATCCTTTCCTTTTAGTTTGTGGCTCACTCGAATGTCCAGCAGTTGCTGGCAAGCATTTGGTATGAGGGTCTGCCTGGATTTAGGCGGAAGAACATGGCCCTGCAGGCGGTGGACATTATAAGGATTGGTATCCTGTTTCCCATCTTTTCGTTGGCCTATATCCTGGCTCCCTACTCCAGCATTGGTCAGACCATGCGAAAGCCTTTCATCAAGTTCATTTGCCACAGCGCCTCCTATTTCACCTTTTTGTGTGAGTTAAAACCTTCATTATCCTGGATCTTAATTAAAAAAATACGTGTTATTAAGTTCTCCTGATGCTGGCATCTCAGAGGATTGAGACCTTCATCGGTGGCTGGTTCTTTGCCGACTCCTCGGGCATGCTCAAGGTGGAGGAGGTGCCCACGAAACGTGGAGCCAAACCCACCTTCATTGAGTGGCTAATCCTGGCCTGGGTCAGTGGCCTCATCTGGAGTGAGGTGAAGCAACTGTGGGATGTGGGTCTTCAGGAGTATCTCAATGATATGTGGAATGTGATTGACTTTGTCACAAACTCATTATATGTGGCCACGGTGGCTCTGCGTGTTGTGTCCTTCTTTCAGGTGAGCTTCACTAATTATTTAAATATATTTCCTAATAGATTGTAACATTTTATGGTTCTTAAGGTCCAAAAAGAGATGATATTTAACTCACATGCCACGGATTTACCTCGAGAACGTTGGGATGCCTGGGATCCCATGCTGATCTCCGAGGGCCTGTTCAGTGCGGCGAACATTTTCAGTAGCCTCAAGCTGGTTTATATATTCTCAGTGAATCCGCATCTGGGGCCACTGCAGGTGTCGCTGTCCCGGATGGTTATGGACATCATGAAATTCTTTTTCTCTACGTTTTGGTACTATTTGCCTTTGGCAGCGGTCTCAATCAGCTTTTATGGTGAGTTAATAATTAACAAAGAAAGGAAAGTCGAAGATTATATACTTTTGCCGTTTGCAATTTTATAACAAGATCAAATAGGACATCAATCAAATAATCTTCAAATAAATCATTCTTTAAATCGATATTTATCGATTTTAAATAACAATTTTTTTCGATAAATCTAACTTAAAAATATCATAATTAAGCTAAAAAAATTAATTTTACTCAGGCTAGCTTTCCTATGTTAGTTTTACCAGGTTAATAAATCTGCATAATCAGTTTAATATTAAAAAAATGAAAATTTTAAGATTTTTGTTACCCCTTATTTTTTTTTTTTTAATTTTAAGAATTTATTTTTCTGTGGGAAATACTTAGATCTTCTCGGCTGTTGATGCTGATCAAGAAAATATATGATTTATGGGGTAAAAAATTACTCCTTCACACTTTTACAATCTTCTAATTAAAATTCTGACAGCTTTCAAGGGTATTAAAATAAGACAAAAATACAATTTAAAAAGTTTTTACTGAGGAAATAATAATAATAAGCTTTAAATAAATTATTAATAAATTTAAATTATATACTTTCCCCTTAAAGGTACTATGCTGATCTGGAAAAGAAGCGTTGTCCTGAGGTTTCACCGATGAGTGCACTTTTAAACATGAATGGCACCAATGATCCCAATGCCTGCATTGTTTGGCGACGTTTCTCCAAGTAAAGTTTTCTATATTAATAAATATAAATATTTTAATTTAATGTATATATTTAATTTCAGTTTATTTGAGACCACTCAAACACTCTTTTGGGCTGTCTTTGGCCTGATTGATTTGGACAGCTTCGAATTGGATGGCATTAAAATTTTCACTCGTTTCTGGGGAATGCTAATGTTTGGCACTTATTCAGTGATCAATATTGTGGTGCTGCTCAATTTGCTTATTGCAATGATGAATCATTCATATCAATTAATATCGGTAGGTATTTCATTAAAAATATAATTTAATGTAAATCAAAAAATTAGGGAATTAACAGCAGTAAAAAATCACAGAATTTGAAAAATAATTGAAAGAGTTTTGAAGTTCTTCAATATTCGATTTGAAAAAAATAAACAATATAATATATATATAAACAATATATAATGTTCGTTTTTTAATAGTTTCTTTTGCTGTTTCTTTGGTATTTGTTTAAAAGTGAACTTTTTTTAAGTACAACTTTTAATGAGTTTGTTTAGTTGGAAATCTGAATTTCAAGTACAATTTTAATATGTACATTTTCCCTGAATTATCCTTAGGAACGTGCTGATGTGGAGTGGAAATTTGCTCGCTCAAAACTCTGGATAAGTTATTTTGAGGAGGGTGGCACTGTCCGCCTCCTTTTAATATAATACCCACACCCAAGTCTATTTGGTATGCCGGAAAATGGGTGAGACGAGTTTTCTGCAGCGGCTCCTCGGCCGCTCGACGGGAACACCTGAAGACCATTCGGGTGAGTACACTAAATAACTGATAAAATATTTCAAAAATTTATTAATTAACCTTGATTTAATCCCCAGAGAAAGGCCCAGCAGGCGAGTGATCGTGACTTTAAGTATCAGCAAATAATGAGAAATCTGGTGAGGCGTTATGTGACCGTGGAGCAGCGCAAGGCCGAGTCCCAGGGCGTCACCGAGGACGATGTCAATGAGATCAAGCAGGATATATCCGCTTTCCGTTGCGAATTGGTGGAAATTCTGAAAAACAGCGGCATGGATACGAATGTGACCGCTGGTCAAGGTGGTGGTAAGCCCAAGAAATGTTTATTAACTAACTTGACTTTGCCTCTATTGAAATGGGTTTCTCGTCCTTTGACCCCCCAGGAGGTGGTGGCAAGAAGAATCGCCAGAAGGAGCGTCGTCTGATGAAGGGTTTCAATATCGCTCCACCAGGATCGACGGGATCTTTGGCTCCTGTTGCGGAATTCTCCACCTCTTTGGACAACTATGATAACCAGCATGAGATCCTTAGCTCCACACTTTCCACTCTATTTACACCGAACTTTATGCATAAACGCCAGCAGAGTCAAGCGGGTAGCAGTCGGGGTGGTGGTGGTGGCTCAGACTCACCCACCACGCCCACTCAGGGACAGGGCGGCCAGCAGGGTGGTGGGTCAATCCAGGTGACCAGCAACCAGGTGACCACCAAGTACAACAAATCCGCACTGAAGCCATACAACAAGAGGATTGCAGGGCACAAAAAGAGATGGGGTACGCATTCATCGTGCTCGAAATGATTTAATTTTGGAATATTTTTGGGATTTATTTTTATATTTTAAAATATGGTGATATCTTGGTCATAGAAAAACTCTTCTTTTACATTTTTACCTACAGCAAAATTCTTGAAAGTGTTTGGAAATCATAGCTATATTCAAAATTGTTCTAGTTAAATGCAGTTTTCAAAAGTATTTAATTTTGAAAGGATATATATCACAAAATAATCAACCAATACTACCTCAACTTATTTAAAAATGTTTATTTCAGGAAGGGAAATATCTAAATTTGATTCCATAAAATAATACCTTATTTTTCTTATACATATAATTATATTTAATGTTAATTGGTTTCAAGTTATGTAATAACAAAGATTGTCAAATTATAATTTTTAAATCAATTTTCTAAAGATACTAACATTATGCATTTAGTATGAAAACCAAATTTATTTATTAACTTTACAAATTACAATTTATTTTTTTATATTACAAATACAACCTCAAATAAAGTTAAAAATATTTATATTAAAAATATTTCAGAATAATTTACAAAATAATATATTATTTTCTTTATATAAATTGGATTTAATTTAAATTGGTTTTAAGTTATGTAAATAACAAAACAATGTCAAATTATTATTTTGTAATATATTTTAAAAAGATACTAACATTATACATTTAGTATGATAAAGCAAGTAGTATAAGCCAAATTTATTGATTATTTAATACGTTAGAGTAACCCAGATTGGCAACTATTAGTTATAATTCAATTAATAAAAGATTCTTAAATAGTCTACCAAAGATTATATTAAACCTTTTCTAACCAGTATTAAGGCAGAGAAAAGTGTGTAGATTTAAAAAATCATTGTTCAAGGCAACCAAAACTATATAGATTTTAATTTAAAAATTTTTACATTAAAAATTTATTTAATAAATTTTTTTTCCCTCCTTCAGGCACCTTAATAGAAGCCGCCAAGGTGGGCAATGTGAGCAAAATGCTGGGACGTTCAAAATCGAGGATTCGGTGTGTAATTCCTCGCACTCATCCACACCGGTTCATGGTCAAATGAGGGTCACCTATGCCCAGAATTCACCGCAGCACAATTATGGATGCCATGGAGATTCCTCCAGTACCACGGCCTCCACAGCGACACCAACGCCCTCGGTGGTTAGCAATCCACCAGCAGCCCATGTGGGGGGAGTTGGCTCCCATTTCTTTCACACCACAAGCGGTGGGTTTAAATCAACTAAATATCATTCTAATTACCTAAATTTAAATTATTTTATTTAAATTATTTCCAGGACTCACTGCCATTGCAGCTTTGAAGCGAAAGCGCAAGAAATTCTCTTCTAGCAAAAATATTTGTCCGGTTACCGAATCTGTGGCAGCTGCAAATGCAGCTGAGATTTTAAGTGATAAGGTGAGTTAATTTTTAAAATTTCGTTTAATTTAATAGATAATATTCTTTATCTAATTTGCAGACCCTGAAGCGTGTGTCCAGTTATCCTGCGGCCGAGGCTGGAGTCCAGCACAAGGATCCTGCCCATCAATTGGTGAAGCCAAGGAGACATGAACAGACCCAAAGTCAGCACGATTCGGTGGAGACAAATTCAACATTCACTTTGTCCATTGATCCTTCGAACACGTCCGTGAACTCCAGGGAACCATTGATCAGTACCAGTTGTGTGTCCACCACGGGAGCCATTGGATAAGGGATGATGATGATGATTGATGATTACTGATGAATGGTACTGCAGCGGAGATACAAAATAAATACATTCAAACATACCAAAGATATAGCACACCTAAGGCATACCTAGGATACTATTCAGAGACAATTTGTTGACACTTTTTGATATGAAGACATATAATGAATGGGGATGCTAATAAACTAACCGATATCCCGAAATCTAAACTAAAGCCACACAGCCTAGATCTTAAATTACCTCACCACAATTAGATATTATATATTTATATAGGGAAACAAGAGTCATACACCAAAGTAGAGCATAACACTCGATAACTGTTAGCCAATACACACACATTAAACCCGTAAAGAACTATGTATTTTGCACAAACTGAAGGAATATTAACCATAACCTCCTGGGAATATTCAAACTACTCATCATTAACCTCAGCTCCTCCTACAAAACAAGGCAAACTTTAATGGAATTTATTGAAACTATATCCTCTCACCTGAACCATTAAAAGCACACAGACACATATCATGCCAATCGCTTTATAATGAAACCTTTTACACCAAAGAAATAAAATAAATTCCCCCCCGTAATAAATAAAATATAACAAATAACTAATAACTAAAACTATCCCATATCGATGTTGAACGTTGCCTTAGCATGAAACATATTTTTTATACACATACATAAGTTTTGGATGAACATTACTGAAACGGACTGTACTCGTAATCGTAACTCGTAATTGAGGTAGGAAGCGCTGTGTATTTGTTGATTTGAGAAAATGAATTTGAAGCCAGGGATTTGTTGATAATGTTTCCAGCAAGCAAAGTGCAAGCAGAAAAGCCAAGCAACGCAAAGCAAAAAATAAGTAAATAAATCAAAGGATACCACAATTTTATACACCGATTTTAACCAACACAAAAAACAAAAAAAAAAAAAAATAACAAGAAAGGAAATGAACAAAACCGTATTAATAATCAAATCGCATACTAACTAAAAGTGTTTGAATTTTATGGTATTTATGGAATACAAATACGAATAATCAGAATTTTTAGATGATTTTTGGGTTAAAGTAGATCAAATACTCACACAAAAAAACACTCACTAAACACACGAACAATATACAATATATATATACGAAATATCAACGAAAACAATAAACAAGGAATAACCATTTTATATATAGAACGAAAAAATAACGAATACCAATGTTTAGCGTAATATAAAAATTGTTATTTGCACGAAAAACATAACGAAGTAAAATATACATATAAAATGAAATGGAAAGAAAAAGTGTTTATTTTTGAGGAGATACCAATTTTTTTAAATTCATCAATATGCCTAATTTGAGTTATGGAAGTAAATGAATGAAATGAACACTTGGAAGAAGCTGAAGCTGATGAACTCATTGGAAGAATATAAGATATAATATAAGAGTTTGCAATAAATCTGATGAGTTGGGAGATTCATGATTTGTGTGAATTCCGTTCTAAATTATGTTATAATATTAAAATAATTTAATTACGCTGCAAGAAAAAACCCCCGAACAAATTTGATAATCAAAACCCAGATTTGTATTTTTTATTATTTGTATATCGCATTTATTTTAATGTTTCATATATATATATATATATTTTTGCAAATAAATTTTATAAGTTTGTAAACATAGAAACATACATAATTTCCATTTATTTATCATTTGATTCCGATTTAAGTTTATCTTTTATTTATATATATATAATTTTTTTAATTTGCATCAAGCAAATGTTTATGCTTTACATGAACAAACATTTGTTTTGTGTTTTTTTTTTTAGGTTTTTCGTGATTTTTTTAGATAAGATTCCGGTTTTTGTTGTTGTTGTTTGTATATAATTCACATTAAATGCTATGGAAAGAAACAATTACATTTAGTTTTAATTTATTTAATTAGAAAAATAATAATAATTGGAATATAAATCACTTTGGCCCCTAGTTGGGGCTGCTATATAGCAGGGTTCAATATTTAGTTGGTTTTGTTTTTCTTTAATGTTATATATATTTGATTTCTTTATTATTATTTTAGTTGAAATGCAACAGTTTGTTTTGTCAACAGAATATAGCAGCCCCAACTTGGGGGGTTGCCGTTCGCCTTGGGTTTCTGGTTGTCGTATTTAATATGCTTGTTTTTGTTTTGTTTTTATTAATAAATTGTTTGTAATAATTCGTATAAAAAGGTTTTTGTTTTTTGTGAGAATGAAAGAAGCGTCTGCTGTTTTACATATATATATATTCTTTGTATATACATATATATTTCGGCTTAGATTGGAGCGTTGTTGTTTTCATTTTTTGCGGGGAAAAACATAATTTTACAGAGCACTGAATACTTGTTTTGTTTTCTTTTTTGCTAGTGTAGTAATGTCTAATAAATTCATACATTATTTTGCATTTGCTCTCACGCCCCCCTGCGCCACATTACCATTACCACTATTTCCCCCTCTCAATTCGTTAACTCGTTTTAGCTACTTAGTTTGTTTGGTGCAATTTGTTGGACCAAGCTAACTACGATTTCGTTTGGAATACACTTTACAAAAAAAGTCTTGTACAAAAAATTCTGCAGCATTCCCGCACACACACACTCATACATACACACACACACACACACACACGTATTTTACACGACATTTGACATTCACCGGATATACACAGGGAGCGTGAGAGCGCGACGACAGATAGAAGCTGCTTGCTGCGCGACACAGCGCCATTAACAGTTTGAGAAGCAGAGATTTTTGACAAGTACTGGAAGGAGAGCCTGTGGGTTTCCCCCTTTTATGTTTTTTTGTTTTTGTTTCAGCTCTTTTTCATTCGTTTTTTTGTTTGTGTTTTGTTTATAGCACATATTGGAGATTAAACTTTCGTTTTTTTTTTTGTGACAACAAATATTATATATAAGTAAATACCATTATTAACATGTTTTAGCTGTTTTGTGAATGTGTTTCTTTGTGTACATTTAATACATTTAATTGGGGGACTCTGCCTTTCTCTCATTTCTATTTTTCCATTTGATTTCCTGCATCCTGCTTTCTTATATTTTTTCGTTTGTTTAAAATTAGACAATATACAGTTGCTTTTTTTTGATTTTGTTTTGTTGATTCTGTTACATATTATATATATAAAAAATACATAATTACAAACTAATGGGGTTTTGTTGAAATCACTTCTTTGAGACAGACAGGAAGGCCACAAAGACCGCTTCAGATTTAAAAAATTAATTCGGAAAAAGGATATTCAAAAATAGGTCACAAAATGCCTAACAAATTTACAATAAATTTGGGATATAAAATGGATTTTATGGCCTACTTTTGAAAGTCTTTTAAAATTGTTTTTAAAAATCAATAGCGATTTCTGTGGCATCCCTGATAAAGTGTGTTTTTTTGTAGTTTTTTTCTCGTTATATATATAATTTTTTTTTAACTTTTCTCCTGTTTTTCTATTTTTGTGGATCCTTGCCTGCAATGCATGACGATGATGATGTGGTGGCGGTGTCCTCTTAACCCCTCAGCATGTTGACGAGCATGGCGACCAGAAAAGTGCCCACCAGAAAGGAGACCACAATGCACACGGCCTTCTGCTGTCAGTCAGGCGCTTCCGGTTCGAGTACAGCGATGTCAGTTTGCTAACAATACGACGCAATCCACCGGAATGGGCCAGACTGGATGAGATGGCCGATGCCGCCGCTGCCGCCGTTGACGACGAGGAGGAGGAAAAGGAGGAGGCAGCGGCGCTCAAGGAGGTGGCACCCAAGGCCAAGCCGCCGGTATGCGGATGATGGGCATGATGCATGTGATGCGAGTGATGCATATGATGCTGATGCTGATGATGCAAATCCGTGGCCCCGCCACCACTTAGTCCTGCTCCTCCGGCAGCACCACCGCCGCCGCCGCCGCCGCCGCCGCTGCACTGCTGATGATGGTGATGGTGATGATGATGATGATGATGCAGGGGATCCGCACATGCATTGAAACCGGACAATTCCTGCTGCAACCGCCAATGGCCACGGGATCCGCTCCCACGCCGCTTGCCCCACTAATCGCCGAGGCACTCACCGATCTCATATGCAGGCCATTGGCCGATCCATTGCCCGCCGATAGTTTCCTGCTGCTCCTCTGACTGGCAACCACTGGTGCTGTGGATCCATGTAGGTGGTGGTGACAGGTCGCCGAACTGGGATCCAACTCACTGGGCACCTGGTAGCGCAACGGACTCGATGGCTGGCCATAAAGGAGCTCCCCGCCGGCCGCTATCCTTACGGGACACACACGAATGGTAACAGTGCCAGCGGCCAAATTGTCAATGGTGAACTTGGTCTCCGGTCCGCGATACAACTGCCTGTAGTCCTGGTTGGCCAAATTAACTGGAGCTCCGCTGGAGCTGCCACTGGAACTGCTGCTGCGTCCCTTGGGGACAGGGAATCACCCTCCAGGTCGGAGGCGCCCAGTACTGCGTACTGCAACTCGTACTCCACGCGATCGTGGAAGGAGTTCTTCGAGTGCTGCCACTCCAGCGTTAGCTGCATGCCCAGTTGTCCTGGTAGGTCCATCAGGCACACACTTCCCTCTTGGACCACCCGTGGTGCTTGATGTTTGCCGGCAGCGTGGCCGATGTCTCAAAGACATATTCCTCCGAGTAGTCACCATCGCCAGCACGATCCGTGTGGGCATAGATGCGGAAAGTGTAGCTACTGCGCTCCTGCAGTTTGTGCACCTTGCACATGCAATTGGTGCCGGCATAGACGGACTGGAATTGCTTGGCCCTGGCCACATACATCTCCACAAAGTATTTGGTGAAATCACCACTATTGTTGCCATTGCCCGACGAGGAGGATCCACCGTTGCCCAGCTTACCGCTGGGGTTCTCTCCCCACTTCAGCTTGATGTAGTTATGTCCGGCGCCGCTGCATTCGAGACGCGGTGGCGCTGGCGGTGCCGGCTGTGTTGTCAGCTTGGCATAGGCACTAAAGGCACCCGCTCCGATGGCGTTGACCGCCTGGACGCGGAACTTGTAGCCCGTTTCGGGCGACAAACCACTCACCGTGTACCGCGTGCAGGCATCCGGAGTGGCAATGGTCCGCTCACCGTACTCAATGTTGTAGGAGCAAATGGGTGATCCATGGGCCGTCGGTTGCGTCCAATTGAGGGTCACCTCTTGGGCGGTGAATTCGTAACCCTGCATCTGCGGTGCTCCCGGAACGGCGGCTGGCGTGCATACGCTTATCACGTCGGAGGAGTTGCCCGTTCCGGCGGCATTGGTCGCCAGAATGCGGAAATGGTAGCGCGTGTAGGGTGAGAGGTTCCTCAGCTCCGCGCTGGTCATTGCACCCTGATAGCAGTTGTGGAACTCGGTGCTCGGTGGCTCCTTAATGTCCTGCTCCTGGTCCTCGTCCCTTCTCTCCTGGCTGGCACTCTTCAGCGTGTAGCTGGTCACCGCCGCTCCATTGTCCTGCAGTGGAGGCTGCCAGCTAACACTGAGATGGGTGGCTGACTTCACCAGCACGCGTAGTTCCTCGGGCACACCGGGCGCCGCTGCGGCCGCCGTGAATCTCATCCACTGCGACCAGTTTCCGGCTCCAATTCGATTGATGGCTCGCACTTGGGCCTCGTACATGCTGCCCGGGATCAGGTCTTGAGCCACAAAATAGGCCTGCTTGCCGCGGTAGACCACCTGCGGTGGCTGCACTTGCTCCAGGCGTCGCATCTGGGCCTCAAACTCCAAGACCGGAGCCCCGCCATTGTACTCCGGATGCTGGAGCTTCAGGAGGGCGGCGTAGGACGAAGGTGGATCACTGCACTGGGGCGGTGGCGGTGCCGACGGTGGCACTGCCTCCGTGGTCACGTGTCCAATGTCAGAGTAGGGACTCTGTCCCGCCGGTCCCTCGCAACAGGCACGCAGGGCATAGGTTGTTCCCGGCTGCAGGCGTTCGCACATGGCCTCCGTTTTGCTGCCCGTGTAGATCCTCTCGAACACCGGTCCCGCTGCACTCAGCTCGAGGTGATAGCGAAGGATCTCCTCACCGCCTGAATCGCTTGGAGCATCCCATCGGGCCTTGAAATGTGTCCCATGGATCTTGCCCTTGGCCTGGGGTTTTCCCGGCCGGCCAGGTCGCTCCGCCAGCGTTCGGTAGATGATCTCCATTGACCAGGGCGACACACCGGCCTCGTTCTCGGATCGCAAACGGAACTGATAGCTGCTAGCTCGCCTCAGTTGCAGGCACTCCGTCTGCAGCTCTGTGCCCTTGTAGGTGTTCAGGTAGCCGTGGCCCGATTCTGGGTCCTGCATCTGCAGCAGGAAGTCGCCATCCTGCGCACGTCGCTCCCAGCCTAACTTCAGCGAACTGGAACTATTGGCCAGCAACTGCGGTGGCCTGGGCACAGGCGGTGGATTCCCGGAGGTGCTGTAGCTGGCTATCGGGGAGTAGGGACTCTGACCCACCTCATTCACTGCCGCCAAGCGGAAGCTATAGACGGTGGTCGGTTGCAGTTTCCCAATGACATAGTGCTTGGCCTTGATCTTGCCCAGCTCCACGAACTTTTGCGGCTGCCCATTGCCATTCGTCGTCGCCCTGCCCTCGTCATACTCCAGCAGATAGTGTTGTATGCTCGATCCGTTCGCTGCCGGTGCGGCCCAACGCAGGTTGATCGAGTTTTTGGTGCGCGACACCAGTTTCGGGGGCGGCGGCTGATCCGGTTCGCAGGCTGGCGTCCTAAACTCTGCCGGTTCGCTTACGGTCCCATGGAGTTTCTGATAGTGCACTTGCAGCCGGACCAGATAATCCTGTCCCGGCTGCAGATCCTGCACAATGCACTCGTAGGCCTCGCCCATGTACAGACTCTTGTACTTGCACTGCTTTCCCGAATCGCTGAGGAGAACTTGGTAGCGCAATTGTCGCATATCCACAACGAGGGCATCCGATAGGGCTGGCGATTCCCAAATGATCTTGGCCGCCCGCGAGGTTACATCTATCACCTCGGGCTTTTCAATGGCCGAGATTTGGTCTACAATGGAGGCCTGGTACTCCTCCTCCTCATCCTCGCCGGCCAAACTGGAGTTGTCCTCGCCATCGTCCGAGGTTCCCACAGAGCTGGCACCGCCCACACTGCTACCGGTTCGCTGGGTATGATGTGGCGGCTGCTGTTGCTGCTGCTGTTGCTGGGGATTACCGTTCCTGTGCTGGGCAGGATGTCCTGTTTGCTGTTGTTGTTGGGGAATCCTGCGTCCCACCAAATGATGATGGTTACTGAGGTGAGCCGGCAGGGGTAGCACACCCAAAGGAATGTTGTTGTTGTTGTTGTTATGTGACCATTCAGTTCATTGGCACGGCGCGGCGAAGGTGAGTGTGTGGGTGGCGTGGACAATTGTGGATCTAAAGCGGAGAAAAAAGGATTAGCAAGAGGTAAACTAAAGCAGATCGTGAGGATATAATGCTTACTTGACTCCCTCTGCTTCTCCAGCTTTCGCAGCAGCTTCGTGTGCTGCCGCTGACTTCGCTCATCCCGGTAATTTGGCGGCGATGGCGAGTGCGGGGAATGTGTGTGTGCTTGGTTGTGTTGCTGCTGCTGCTGCTGTTGTGTGTGCGGATGGTTGTGGGTGTGTGTGTGACTGTGGGTGTGGGAGTGCGGGGCAGCAGCTGTTCCCGCTGGCGGTGGCGCTCCTGCTGCTGGTCCTGCTGCCCCAGGCGGTGCTCCTTGGGCCTGCTGCTGTGGTGGCGCCTGCTGCTGTTGGGGAGGCGGCGGTGGTGGCAAATGGTAATTGCCCGCTGGTCCTGGGCCAGGATAGCCCGCCACTGGGGTGTAAAAATGCGAAGTGCCATTGGCACTTATCTGGAAATAATAAAAGAAGGAATAAATGTATTATTATTACTGTCTTTATATCAGGTTTAGGTATTTATTTAATTATATTTTGTACTTTAAAAACCACTGTGGCTGTCCTGGTTGCCTTTTCACTTTTCCCTGGCTGCTCCTCCATTTCCACATCAAAAGATCTCTTTGAGACTGAGTACCACGTCAACTTTTGTCCACGCTGGCTATAAATATCTGCCTTCGGCTCGTAAAAAAAAACACAACGCCGCCGACACACAAACTGATAACAAATAACTAATTTATTTGTCAATTTCTTATCAGGCAACAGGAAGCGAGTTCGTTGTGGTTGTTCTACATTTATTCACTTGGCAATAAATTCCTTGGCACTTTCTTTAGGCGCTTGAGTTTCGTTAGGAACCCGAGATATAGTTTAAATAATAACGAAATAGAGTAACTTATATATAGGTAAAATTTAGAACTAAACAGCTGACTGGTATGACCGCATAAAAACAATACAAAAAACACATTCGTAAACTGCAACTGGTCACACTCTGCTGAAGAAAACGTTAGCAAACAACGTAAGGTGGAGAAAACGTAAGGTTTTACGTGAAAAGTTATAGTTATTAAATACCAAAATACAAGTAAAATAAATACAAAAATAATAAATTAAATATGATTAAATTAAATATAAATAAATTAAATATAAGCAATCAATAAAAGCAAACCAAATTCTCATTTCCTCAGTTCTCGAGTGTCACAGCTTTTAGATCTGTATTGCACCTGTAAAACTTTAACTTTGCCAGTAAAATAATAAAAATAATAAGACTAAATTTTATAAAATAAAAATCTTGTATAATTTCTAAATTAATTGTCAATATATTTCTTTTTAAAATAGAATTTTCTGTATAAAAGATTAACTCTATAAAAGGGTGTAATAGCAATGAGCTTCTGCCATATGCGTTGGCGCTTAGATTTAAAATTACTTTGACATAATCGTAACAGCTTAAACCAACTTTTAAAATGTTTAAAAATAGTACCAAATATATAAAAAAAATATTAACTTGATATTTATGCCTAAATACGATTTACGTGAAAATAATCTGTAGTTTTTCTAAGCAAGCTAAAGTTTTAAACAACAATTAATATATTCTATGCCGCGCCCGTCTAACAAAGTTTGAACTAAATTTTCGCAGGCATAGACCATTAAATAAATTGCTTTTTTTGCGGTATATATGGGCAACAGCTATTAGCCACGCCTGCATGCCACAGATATTAACTAAAAATTGTTGCCAAAGTGGCCTGGCGTGGCTTGGCTTGAAGCTGATGATTGATAATTTGCTGCAAAACTGTAGTAAGTGATTTTCTTTTTGATTTTTTTGGTACACCAAAATTACACTAATTTTGCGATGATTTTTTTTTTGCATGAATTGTGCAATTTGTAAGCTTTAAAAGCGTTAATTGTCTCTCATTTGCTCTCGCGAAATGTGTACGATTCTCCATGGTTCTTTTTTCGGATGGTCATAAACTATGAAGGAAAATAATAATAATAATAATAAATATGGGTCAAAGTTAATGAGTTTTTTTTTGCGCCACTCTTTATGCTCGAAACAACAGAAATAATAAAGTCGAGACAAAAGAAGCCGGATTAACGCATGGCAAACAATTCTGCGAGGGAGTTTACGGTTTCGTTTTCAATTTCAATGGTGCGACAGATGCCGTTATTTCGGAGTGCATTAACTCAAGTTGCATAATGGATACTTCCAGCTATGTGCAACAACAACAATGGCAAACAAACGTTATGCAAATTAGCATACAATCAAATTATAAACATTTCAACATAAACACACAAGCGGAAGCTGCCATTTGTTGGGTGCTGCGAATCTCTCACTACGATGGCTTTGCAATACAGTGGCTTACCAGAGGTTAAGGGGGTTTTTAGGGGGGTTTCTAACCTCCTAGATAAATAGAGATGATCCTCTTACTATGTTCTATATTTTAAGGTTTTTTAAATAGTTAATTCCTATCTTACTAGAATGTTTTCTTGCCTATTTTCGACTGGCAAAGATCTCTCCCTCTGTACAAACATTTTCCCCACGCTTGTGTTTGTTTTTCTGCAATGCTGTGCCAGCAAATTGTTAATTAAGTCAAGGAAAATTCAGCCCCAGTCAGTCATAGAGTAAAGTGGAGTCAGTCGAGCACCGCCGGCACTTTCATTTCAGCAGCAAAGCGTGACGAAGCCACATGTGTTGTGTGTGTTGTGTCCAGGTTGGAAATCTGAGTCCAAGGCGGATGAAGTTGTTGCCTCCGCATTAATCAGGTTTTTTTTCACTGCTAGAAATGGCAATAGGATCGGCCAGGTAACCAACCAGGTAACCAAACCTGGCTAGTACACTGTCGGCGAGTTATGTAAAAATGTGACAGCAAAGTTCAGCTCCGCTTGGGGTTCAATTAAAAGTCATGAGCAGCAACAATGTTGCCAGCAGCAAGCACGACGATCAACTAGCAACATTTAATGGCTTGCACTAGACTAAAGATAAAACAACAGCAACAAAACAACAGTCTACAAATTGTTATGCAAATGGAGTCTTTAGTTGGCCTAAACGGTGGTAAGGATCTTGACAGTTAGCAGGGGAAAGGGTATAGATTTAAGAGGTGTTTCTTAGGAGAAGTATTTTTATAATATAAATATAATATAATATACTATATTATATACTATAAAACGTTAAAAAAACTGAAAACTCTAACTATATTATAAATAAAGAACCTTAAAAGTTGATTTAAAAACATGAAAACTGTAACTATTAAGTAATAAATTGAATGCAGGCTGTCCTTTTAATTTAATCTGTAAAAAACAAAATATGATCCCTTTTAATTTCTAAATATTGTTCTAATAATCTATAGTAATATTTTGAAATTTTTTATTCTGTTAATTTTAAAAAGTCTGCTTATATATTACAAATTCAAATTTTTATCAGCTTTTATATGTATTTTTAAATATTTTGAATTCATAAAAACCATTAGAAAAAATAATTGCATAGACTACTTATTAAATACTTTACATATTTTAACAAATAATAATTATTTATATAAAATAACATATATATAATATTTATATAAATCATATATGATCTCTACTAAATCGCCATCAATAAATTGTAATTAAAATAAATAAATTGCAATTGATTAGGTATTATTGAACTGTAATTAAAAATAAATAAATAAAATTCAAAGCTCCCAAAGTTCATGTTTAAATAGGAAAAGCAATGATTATTCAATAAACAACAAAACCGGTGGCATTAAATTGTAATTTATTTATTTTTAATTATAATTCAATGCTCCCAATTAAGTTTGTTTATTAAAAAAGCATCCTTTTCCTGTGATCTTAAATTGTAATTAAGTGAATTAATTTTGTACTTGTCAAATAGATATATGTATATATTTTTTCTCCAACAAGAACACATAATAAATGGCAGCAAAAAAGATTTATTTGATTTTGTCTGTTGGAACACAAAATAAGTAAATCACTGGCAAAGTGTCAGCAAATTATAAATCCCGCGGCAAAGCGCGTAATCAATGGAAATTATATAATAATTCACAATGCAATTAATTCTGATGTTAATTGAGCGATTGATAATATAATACAATAAATAACAGAAGTGGGCGGAAGGGGTTTTAGAGTTGAATTTAAATTGTGCTAGGCGCTATTCCAGAACCGGAATTGATGTTGATTCCCATTTAAATTTTCAGTCTGGACCAAGTCACGAGCTCCATTGCTCATTCCAAGGGTCAGTGATTTTCCACCATGGCAACGGAAAATGTATTTCAATTTTCCCCCAAATTTATATATTATATATTTTTTTCTTTGTTAACAATTTCTGCACACATAAAAGAAATGATGGGAATGTTTATGTTGGACAATGAAATTGTTATTATTAAATTATTAGACATAAGTGGCAGCAACAGTTGGGAGGCAGGAGATGATTTTTTCGAACGTGATGTGAATGGGTAACGTTCATCTGCTTTTGGCTAACAGCAAGAGTTTCATTTTATTTTTTTATTATTTTTTTTGTTGTTACCAGCTAACCATTTTGCAAATTAGCAAGGCAATTTAAATGGAATGCATGAGCCATGGCTATGAACTTGGCCATCAGCGAAAAGTGTTCCGCATTTTAATGGTTGAAAAAATTGTGGAAAATTAATCAAAATGATGGCAATTTGTTTCACTTAAATTTTACTTAAGTGTCACTAGGCCTAGGACTTGAAAAGTTATTTAAAACTAATTTTATTGGGTTAAAAAATTAAAGGTAAACCTCAAAAAAGTGTTTTTATAAATTATAATCTAATTTAATTCAAAATCAACAAATCCATTATACTAAAATTATTAAATAATAATATTAACTTTTGTTTTATTTTAATAAATTGTTATATAAAGAGCTGCCTGCCGCCTCTGTATTTTATAGCTTCGCCAGAGAAAAACCTTTTATTTATATTTAAATTTCCATTCAATCATTTAATCAAATTGTGAAAGCTATGAATATATTACAGATTATATTTTTTCTCCTGACATTTAAAATGACTGTTTAAAAATAAAGTATTCCAAAGAAAATATATTATAAAAACGAACTGAAATAACTTATTCACTTGAAAGTGGCTATAAAAATATATAAAAAACGTGAGAACATGAACAAAAAACAGATAAGCCGCATTTTATAATTAAAGGGGAATATAGGGTGTATTTATGTATAGCTAATTTTATTTAAATTTGTTAAAAGAAGAGTAAATAAGTAATTAACATTAAGAGTATGCCAACATATTTCCCTATAAAAACTGAACTATAACTAACTAAAGCATTCCTTCTTTCTTTTTAACTGTCAATCAGTCTTCTTAGGCCCTTTTTAGGGCGTGTCCCTCTCGTTAACTAACTAATTAGCATTCCAGGTAAATATATTGGCTCAAACAGCTTTCGCAGGTGATCGTTTGTCAAAGCTCACACTTAAATGACAGCTCGCGAAAATGCAATGAAATGGGTTTCAGAAAAATAAAATAAAACTGAGAAATGCATTATTTCCTATTCAAATATTAGTTTTCTATGAGTCACAGAGCATTAAGTACTTTCGGGGGACTTTGGAATACAAAGCGAAATGGACTAATTAGTCATGCAATTTTCACACTTTTCCCCTTCTCAGCAAACACAGCGATTGCATTACAGTTTATAATCTAAACTTAAGCCAAACGATAAATATAATAAAATTATAAATGCATAGGCAACGACAGCTGGCCAACTGTTTTTACGCTTTTGTTTAAACTTTAATTTAATTGTTATTTAGCTAAAAGTTTACCCATTGCCATTGTTGTTTATTGGCTCAGTTTCATTATGGCTAAGCGCACGAGTCTCTCGGTTGCATTCGAATGAGAATCGCTTTCAGTTTCCCACTTTTCAGCTTTTCCTGGAACAAACAGCTTCAACCGGATCCAAATCGGGTTTTTGTTTGGCCAATAAATTATTTTTACAGACGCCCCCGAATGGAAATATCAGGGGGAATTGTTGTTGCTGTTGGGTTTTGCTGATTGCTGGTTGTTTCGCTCAATTAGCTGTCAATTAATTGATAAGCGGCGCCGGAGAGGAAGTCCCCCTCTCTCTCTAATGGTATGGAAATGAGATAACGTCTTCTTCCCTTCCGATAAGGTCCTATACTATGTATCTCAATATAGATGCGATTGACTGTGTTTGGGTTTTCCCCCAGATTCTATTGTTTCAAATCGCCTGAGCATTGAGTTTAATTAATTCATCTACGGGAAAGGCTCGACATTGTTTGCATTCGCCATTAGAACAAAGCTTGAACTACACTTGATGGAACTTAATACTTAATAGTTCTAAGAACAAGCTCAACAATGTTTAAATAAGTATTGATAAGTATTAAGAGTAGTTGTTTAAAGACTGTGATTTGTTGCCAGTATAAAGTTTCTTATAAAACTCATTATAATTAAGATTGAAGAGGTTTAATGTAAGCTTAGGAATTTGTATGAATAAATTGTTATTTTTGTGGTAATAAAATTTTAGAATTCTAGCTATTTATAGAGAAATTCTTGATTAAACTTAAAGTATTTTTAATACTACGAAACTTTAATAAAATTTATAGAAAAATAAAGCAAATCTCGAGTCACTTCTCTGACTAGAATTGTGATACGGAATAAAATTGGTAATTAATGGTCATATATTTTTACTAAGAATATATTTAAATTGTATTAATTTTTAATGTTAAATGCATTTGAAATATTTCTGAATTTATATATTTTTTTTTTCTAATTAGAAATATTTTTAAAACTCATTTAAAATATGTATATATTTGTATACCTTTGCAGAGTATTTAATTTAGTCAAAAGCTTGTATTGTATGAAACATTAATTTCCAGCCCTATATATCATATATATTCTTGATCAGAATCAACAGCCAAGTCAATGTAGCCATCTCTGGCATAAAAATATTTTGAAACTAAAGGAGTTACATCGTTTAAATTTTAAAAATTTATCAATTTGCAGTTTTAAAAACGTTTTATTGAGTCTGCGGATTTATTAACTAAATAAAAACTGACAGAGAAAAGTTTTCCGAATTAAAACTAAGTTTTTTTTTGGTGAAGTTATGCGTTTTTTAATCTTGATTTGGGGAAAAAATTGTCATACTTAAATTTCAATAAATAATATATTTGAAGCTTAATTATGATTGATTTCCGATACAATCCTAAAATACAATTTCTAACTGTAAGGCTATATAAACTTCAGCTTCCGTAAATTAGTTCCTTTTTACTTGTTTAATATACATTCAAACTGATTCAAACATTTTAACAAGCATTTCCAGTTAAGATCAAAACTGAAAGCTTTTTGGAAGTGACCGCAGACAACATCATCCTTCCATTCCCTCTCTCTCTCTCGCCTGCATGCCAAAGCACTGACACCTTCCAATATCACAGAGCGACCTCTGCCGTAACTTCTCCCGCTGACCACTGCAGATCAGTTCTTCAAAAGTCGTAGGCCGAAGCGGAGGGACCAAAAAAACATTAAGGTCTCCCCGCATGTAAAACAGTGAAAAAAAGTGGAAAATTAACAACGCAAAAGCAAAGACAGCTGCCAAAGTGTAAGTTAAATGAAAGTGTAGTGAAAAGTATTAGTGAAGTAAATTAAACGCCGAGAACAGCCTCTGTTGTGTTGTATTTTTTTCTAGTGATTCTTTTTTTTATTTTTGTATATGTGAAAGTGAAAAAAGAATGAATATCAAATCAAGTGTAAAGTGAAAAGTGTTAGTGAGTCCCACAACAGAGGCCGCGTGTTTTTTATTAACAAAACCAAGATCAGTGCGTAATTATTGACTCTTTAATATTGGCAAAGACACTGCTGTACCTTCAATTAAGAAGCGCTTTTGTCGTTGTCCACTTATTCACCGTTAGAATCGAGCTGCAGCTACAGAAATTGTGTGTGGGTGAGTGAAACAGAAGTATTTTTTCTTGCTCTTGTGTTTCTATGCCTTTGCAAGCCCGTTATTCCCCCCTCTCTTGACCCTGAATCTCTGATGCTTTTCAACCTGTAAAGTGGAACCAAAGAGCGGGAGAGCGATTTTAGGAATGTGATCCACTCTTGTGGCTGCTAATTGTGAATAGTTGGACACTTCTCCAGGAGCTTTTGTTTAGCTTTTTTTTTCGGGGCAAATTGTGAATTAAGAAATGTCAGTAAAGCTTGATAAAAGCTGACTTTTATAATTAACTACTTTGCTACTATATTTACTTATTTTAACCTGGCAGGGGGTATGATTATTATTCTTATTATATAATATATTATTTATTTATAATTTATTTATATACTTTTGAACTTGATTTTCTTATTTAAAAATATTTAAAACGCATAAAAATATTTATACATATTCCAATATCCTTTTTTCGATTTAAACCTCTTTAAAAATGCATATAAAATATTTTTAAATTGTAAAATGATACATTTTCAATTTAAAAATGATTTTTCTGGGACTTCTTCACCTAATCAAACGAATATAAATATTTAACTAAGCTCAGAGTAATAAATAAATAAGTATCCACTTACGAATGGTGCTGGATGGAGGTGTCCTTGGCCAGGATGCAGTTGCTGGTACTGCTGCGGCGATAGCATCACATGGGTGAGCGTTCCGTTCTCGTTGACGTACTGCGGCACCTGGACGGGCACCGGCATCGGGGGCGGCGGTCGATTCTGGGACACCATCTGGACGGTGGCGGGACCTGTAAATATGCCAAAAATGGGCAAGCGGGAAGAACAAAATTATTTAAAATGCCTCAACAAGCGGCAATATGCTGATGTATCTCACAGATACAGTTACAGTTACTGTACAACAGGGCATCCCAGTTAGAGAGAGAGAGAGAAGGATTCTCATATGTGGAGAATGTGGGGGTTTTTGGGGGGAGGGAAGGGGGCACAAGTTAAGGCAGGCGACAGCTGGCGCCAGCGAGGCGACAGCTAGACGAGCGAGCGAGGGGGGGAAAGCGCCAGGACATTGCCAGGACAGCCTTTGCTGCTTTATGTCAGCGGCGATTTCTCTGTGTTTGTTTAATGGATATCCCTCTCTCTTTCTCTGTCTATTAGTGTGTGTGTGTGTGTGTGAATATATTTGCACAGAAAGGAATTTATTTATTTTATATTCGTTAAGAGTTTGAGATACAAGTAGTGTTTTGCTTGTAAAACTTAAAATAATATTTAAGTAACTAAAGCTGGATTTATTTAAATTTTTATTGGTTAAAAATAATCAACATTTTATTTATTTGTTGTATATTTCATTATTAAAAGACTCTAAAAGCACTCTATTTTAGCAACAGAAAAAACAACAATTAAATAAATTGACAAAGAAATTTATTCGTAAGCCCATTAGTTAGTTTCCTTTAATTAAATTTGATAAACTCATAATTTAAAAATATATTTATAATCTTTTTCATATATTTCTTGTATTAATTATTAAGTTTTTAGTTAATAACCATTATTCTTAAAGCCTTTATAGAGCGAAAGGTTCAGAACTTTTCCCTAGTCATGTTAATTCTGCAATTTCCTTGAACACTCTTTTACCAATTTAATTACCAAATTTTTTTATAGTAAAAATTAACTATTCCCTTGACTTTAACTAATTTTTCTCCTCTCTGTATACCATTTGAATATGTATGTTTGTGTTTGCTGCAGCCAACAAAATGCTTGACAGAGTCTGCCAATTTCTGGCCCCCTTCGTCGCCTCGAACTACTCAACTACGATACGCATACGCACCGTTGCCCAATTCCGATTTCATTTGCAATTTAAGTCTGCCCGATGATTAATATCCAAGCGGCACCTCCCCAAACCCAGTGCTGTCATAGGCACTACTATTTGCCTTTTGCTGCACTGCTCCCCTTCTCCCCAAATATATATATTTTTGCTTTAATAAATGTGTTGGAAACATAGAAATCTGTAGAGCAAACATTTCTTGGCAGCCACGTTTTTCGGGAGAGCGGGAAATTTGAAGAAAAATCGAGTAATATATATATAGAGAGAGAGGGGTGAACAAACGCTAAAGTTCTTGGGGTTCTTGGCAGAGAATCGGAATCCGAATCAGAATCAGAATCATAGCTTCAGAATTGTCTGGGATCTGTTTCGGCTTCTGGTGTCATTAGGGGTCAGGGGGATGTTTTAAGGGGGGTAGGGATAATACTAGGAACTAGCAACATTTCCATTTCCATCTGGGGGATCCATTTCAACTGCAACTTTGTCGCATGTCAGTGCCACAGAATAAACGACAAGCGGAGACCGCCCCTCCGCAAAGCGCTGCCCCCTCAAACATTTCAGATATATTTTGATTTGTGGATTTGTATTGCTTTTCAATTTTATTTTATTTGTTTTCTTTTTGGCTGCAATGCGACTCGGAAAAGCCAAACGAGCAACCAAATAAAATATATATAAATATATACATTCCTTGTATATATATAATAATAATGAGAAAATTCTGAAGAATGGGAATGGCCAAACATTTGTTAAGGGGAACGATGTCTGGACAAGATTAGCACATAATTTGCTTTGATAGATGATAAGGCCTTAAATGTCCAGTGCAGGCCTTATCGAATGTGAATTGAAGGGGAATTAGTGAAATGGTATTTCAATCTATGGAATTTAATGATTTTTTCTAATAATATTTAAAGAGAAATATCTATAAAGAAATAATGTTATAAGTACCTATACAATCAAATTAATAATTCCATTCTTTATAGTTCTGTGAGCAGTCAATAAATGAGATCATTCTCTTGAAAGATATAAACAGATTTATTAAAATTAAAGCTATTATTTGATAATATTTAAATAGAATATATATTGTATTTAAATCGGTATATATTCAATTACCAATTACAATTAATTAGCTATAAATTTGACGCTTTTATTCTTATTTATTTATATATTTAAAGAAACTTAAAATACTTTCCCACACTCTCTGACCTTTCTTAAATTCCCACGCTTTCTCGCACATAAAACCAGTAAGAAACCCCATAAATATTTAAACTCGAACCAAACGAATAAAAAAATAAGAAAAAAAACGAGTCATGAATCCATGTTCATCATAAAATGCATTCCATGTATGTACATCAATATGGATGGGTACAAATGCGATTCCCCCAGCTGGGAATTCAGCTGCAGTTCACAGTTTTGCACTTTGCATGCCGAGGCACGTAAAAGGAACGTGGCCACGCCTGCCATACGCCCCCATTTCTATTATAGTTTTTTCTTCTTACTTTCTTAGGGTTTTCCCCTCAAAGTACTTTATATTTTCCTGCATTCTGCGTTCTGTTTCGCTGGCTAAACAATGCAAGCGTTGCATTTTTTATGGACACCACGCGGCGTATGCGTAATGTCGGCTAATGGATTGCGGGTGGTTTGGTTCGTAGGGGGTGGAATTCCCTCCCCCCGTCCGGCTTTCGCTTTAATAGTTAAACTGTAAACTTAACGGTAATGCGGCTGCTAATACGCTTAGCCATGTCTCGCACTCATTGAGGCCGAAAATGCTGGGCCTCTCATGGTTCAATCAACCGTTAAATGCCAGACAAGAGTCAGACAGTGTCCCATGGAGGAGTCTTATTGATCTGCTCTTAGGTGTAAAAATGTTGGTTTAGTGCGCTGACGCATAAAGCGACAGAAAAACCAATGGAAAAAAAATACTAAACTGATGATGTCTGATAAAGAGCGCGTTTGGTACGTTAAAGAATTTTTCCCCTTTTTTTTTGTCGCAGTTAATCATTCGGCACAAAAAGGTCTGGCGATTTTCACAGGCCATCGGCGGCAGGTGAGGAGGGAAACGGGGGGAAAGTGTGTGTGTGTGTATGTCTGTCTGGCCAGGAAATGCACACCGTTTCCCGGGGGCAAGATAGATGGCAAGTGAATTTCCACTCGACGCATTTGGCCAAGTGTTAAAAGGCAGCAATTAGTTAGGCGGCCAAAAAGAGGGGGTTAGTTAGCAGCGGCCTCGGGAGGGGGTGGAGCTTATCGCTTGGCCAGCAGACAGAAAGACAGACAGACAGTTAAATGAAGTACTTTAGCGACTAAAGCCGCTCTACCCCTACCCCCTTCTCTGTGCAAAAAATGTCTGCAACTTCAACTGCAACTTAATTAATGCTAAACTGCTTAAGAAGCGATTTGGGCTGGGTGAAAAAGTGGCTGGGATATTATCCCAACCCTCAGCTATATAGAATTCCTATGGAGGCATCTTCAAGGAAATTGTAAGTAATTCTCAAGGAAGCGAGGGTTTTGTTAGGTGGGGGAGTAAAAAACTATTTATCTGAAGGACAGACGACAAGTTGTTGATGGCCAAGAAGGGCTGTGAAAATTCGATAAAGAAGTACTTTATAAAAAGAACGTAAAAGTCTTTAATAATATGATTTTCATTTAATTTTAAGAAAGTTTTCTAATTTAAGGTTAATCTCTAGACTATATATTTCTCTTTAACTATTCTAAACGATCTTACAATTTTTAAATTACATAAAAATCTACAAATAACATATAAAATTCACCTAAAAATACACAAGTATCTCTAGATACTCCTTTGTATTAGCAATTTCCATCCAAAAAGCAACATTTTCGACCTTCTCTTGTTAGCTGAAGCATCATTTTGGTCTTTAATTTTCTGCCCTGATGCGTTGACCTTGTACTCCGCCCCTCCCATCCAAAAGACCCACCCAACCTAACCACCCTTCAGAAAAACCCCTTTAATAAACAGTGTCAAAATAAAGTTGCGGCTGAAACGCGTTTGGGCTAATTGCAAAGTGTTATTGCTTTCCTGTTGTTACGCATTGTTGAGCCACTTGGCCCCGCCTTTAGTCAAGTCATTTGTATAGTTAGTCAGGGGTTAGGGGTCAGGGGTTAGGAGTCCGGGGTCAGGGTCGTTGTCTGGTGTCTCTGATTGCCAGCAACACGCACACGCAAAACACGCACAAAATGCCTATAAAATTAATAACAATTCGGTTAACAGGCGAAACCAAAACCAAAACTTTGAGTGAGAACCGGAATTGCCACGCATCCTCTCTGTGTTTTTTTGTTGTAGGATTTTTTTGGAAATTATTGTGGATGAATTTATCAAATGAAAATAAATAATATTTATTCTCACTCACGTATTACTTTTTTCTTTTTCCTAGTGATGAATGCTCGGGGAGTTGAATAAACTTTCGATTGTTTTGAGCTTGATTTATGATTCTTTTCACTTAAATTGGCAGCAGCACAGGATATGCAAATGATTTGTAGGGCCAAATGACTCTCTCTCTCTCTCTCTGTGTTCGATATTATAATATTGATTGGAAAAGTTAATTCCCCCAAGGGTTTTGCCACTTTTCTCGCTTTGATGTTCCTGATAATTACCAAGCAAATCTGGACCAATGTTGCGGTTAGATGGCTCATTATAATCAACACTTTTCCTCACTTATCTGACATTCTCCATCTCTCGGTAAGCAGGGCAATAATAATTGCGTGTCTCACTCATTTTCTTCACTTGACTGCAGAATCCTCCCAAAACATCCCCCCATCTCTTACACATTTATTCATCTCCAATTAACGATGCGTGCGCAATTATCTCGATAATTATGATGAAACCAAAGCAGAGAATGGGAAAATTCAAGAATAATAAAACAAGTAATATAAAACGACTTTCGCAAAAATGCAATTAGAGCAGAACATTCACGAATGGCTCCTTGGAAAGCTTTGGAGCTCAGAAGGAATTTCCTTAAAGAG